TTAGCTCGCATGTTACAACATCATATATACTAGCTGAAATATGGTAACTATTGTTCGTAACTAACTGTAGCCCAGTCATTTGGTTTGCAAGGCAAATTTAAAAAATTATTTTAAGGATGTAGATTAATCGTCTCCCTTGCAGGTCGGGTAATTCTCCCTGGTCCATTTTAAGTAGCTGGCCTGTGCGTTATTATGTTAATTGGGTTTCGTTATTGTGTCAATTAGATGGAAGGATGAACCAAACAAATAGTGCACCGACCAACCGCTCAAGATGGAAGAATGTGCTTGGCAAACAAAACCAGCAAGAATAAGCTGATTGTATGATGATTTTTGTGAGATTTCCTCCTGTGACCTGTAGGGGGATGAACCTGTAATTTGATCATTACCGATCTCGTCTCGGTCTAACAACTGACCCAGCGAGAGTAGGTAACGAAAATAATGTGCCACAAATGTGATCACAAAACTTTTTTTCATATGGCCACAGCACTAACACTAATGCCAGCGCTGCATCCGGAGGACGCCAGGGGACAACAGCATCCAGCGTGAGGGATTAAGGAACAAGGAGGTCTAGAGACCATCGTTGATTAAGTTGATATGACGGATATGAGAATGTGTAGAGAGGGCTCGAACAATAGGATGTGATGGATTGACAGATTGGTGCGAAACTTTTGGGAACGAACCGGCAAAAGGAATGTTGAGGTCGTTATGGGATGTGAGGTTAGTGGCACAGTAAAGATCTTTGAAGATCTGCCTGAGAACTTTTGTTTGGAAGGATAGATACGCTGGATGTTAGATGGCTTGGCACACCCACAGTTCCACTTCATATGTCCAAAGTGGTCGCAGTAAAGACTTGTATTAGGTTAGTTCAGTGTTGACGGCCAAGATGTTTAATATCAAACGTCTGAAACTGATCTAAAACTTTGTTTGATTTTTATTTCTACTTGAATATGCAATTTTCCTGACAGGATGTTCTTTTTTTAACAAATTGGCCACTTTTCTTCCTTTAAATTAACATTTGTATATCCTTAAATTGTTTTTGTTCTTCACCAACCGGAGATTTCATCAGTAGATAATATTATTGGTTATGTAATAATATATATTTTTTAATAAGGAGGAAGAGACATAAATTCAGAGGTTTGCTGTTGTAAAGATAAAGAAAATCCTGCAGATAGCCATGAACGATGTCAAAAGAAAGTTCTCTATAGAATTTAAAAACAATATTTTATTTATTTTCATTTCGTGTTGTACTAATTAAAATGTTCTAAAAAATTATACAGTCAGGAAAATAAACTAGGTAAAATGAATAATTAGTGAGGATGTGATTTCATTGTTTCCGGCTCAGTATTGCAAGTAGAAGCATTTTTAAGTAATATGTGTCGCCCAGTCGTGGATTAAAAAATTAATAATTCAATGGGTTATTTTGTCAGTTTATATCTAGCAGATGAATAATCCAAGGCAAATAACAATTAATTAATTATTGGAGGGGAGAAAATGAAGGAAGAAGAAAAATTGGCAAAAGAATAGCAAAATAAATCATTCGTAAAATTTTATACATTTTTCTAAACCTTGATTTTTCCATGATTACACTTTTTTGGGGGTTTTGATTTGATCATACTCCTCGAAACAAGAATGTACCGATCCGACAAAACCTACCATTCGAAAGCTTATTAAATGATGCGGTTTTTGTGAAATTTGCCAAGCTGTATCGCTCAAAATTCTTCAAAGATCTTCCAAAGTTTAAATTTTATAAGTATGCGCCAGGGAATCGACTATCAGTCCTGAAAGGGTTAGGGAGATAGCTCATTCTTTAGATAAATGTAATATATATTTTAAAAATTACCTTAATTTTGGTGAAAATTGCATAGTACTTGAGAAAATCTGGGTTTTTGTCATGAGAAAAGTTCATTTTTTCAAAAAAAAATTTACAAAACGATATTGTGATATCTTCCGTGAGGTTTGAGTTAGAAAACTGATTTTTGCGGCATTCTACTGGTTTAGTCTAATATCGACCAATGTTTTCTTGGATCTCATTGTGAACCACTCAGTATGCAAGGATAACTTTATATTTCACTTCTTATTTTTATTTATTTCCTATCTCAAATCTTTAAATATGGAGGAACCAAACCATACACAAACGAAAATTTTTGAAATGTTTCACTAGTCCTTCATCAGACCGCGAACTAGCATCTTTTTAATTTTTCATTTTATATTAACCTAGACCTGCAATAATTTATGCAAGGGATCAACATAAAAGGCGTGTTAAATGTGAATGAGAGCAACCCATCGGTGACCATCAGGCAGCATGACATAAACCCAATGGTTGTCTTGTATGTGCACCCCTCAACCTCCCAAGGATATTGGTAGGAAGGGTAAGAGTGCAAAGTTCGAGGAATGGAGAGATAATTTGCAGTAGAATTTTTATATCGCGATTTGGATAGGTCGATTTGGAATTCGGAAGTCTTTGTGGAGAGTTTGGTTACTAACAGAGAAATGAGAATCGGTGACTTCGCGGAAGAGTTTTGACTGGAGGGAATGGATTCTGTTAAGGTTTTATTTTTAGATGTTTCTTACAGTTCCAGTCCTTAATTCAATGTAGGAGCTAGAAGAGCTGAGTAAAGTATTTTTGTTATAAATGGTAAGTCTTGAATTTAAGTCTAGCTCTTTTTTTAAAATTCTAACATTATAAGTCGCGTATTCATGTCAACCATTTATCATCACAAGTGTTTGATTCAATCTTCCGCTGGAATTGATTTAGTTAAACGTAAGGCAATATTTTGTGATTTTAAGGATACATACTGGGACATGTTTTTATTCTCCATTTAAGGAAGAGGAAACATGGTTACAAGGTGGTCTTGGAGTGATCAAAATGGTAGAATAGGATTGAGATTTGCAGATAGGATTGCTGTAACGCCAGAAAAGGTAAGGGTGATTGTTTTATGGTGTTGAAGGAAGTGTACACGCTGAAAAATAATAGACCTAGGATGCACCCTTGAGGGACACCAGAGAAGACTGAAGGGATAGAAGAGGTTGAGGTTCGATAGCTATCATGGACGAAATGATCAGATTGGTAGGATTTTAGCATCACATAGTATGTATTAGAAAGGAAGGATTTGAGTTTCAGCAGTAAACCCTTGTGCCAAAAACGATCGAACACCTGGGAGACGTCTAGAAAGACACCAGAGCAGAACTGCTTACGCTTTAGGTATGCCGCGACGACGTCTACAACATGATGAGTTTGATTGAGTGTAGTAATTTTAGGAGCCAAATTGGTGGAAAGGAATAATGTTGGCTGTAGATAGTATTTCTTGCACAAAAGCAAGAGCACTGCACATGCATTCAGTTCTATGATGCTTTTATTCCAGATAAGAGATCTGACCATTTATCAAGGTTATCATGGGTTGGGGTGGTTAGGGAGAACTTATGGAATAGATATAGCCAATGTGCATACCAGGAAGTCTTCGACCGTATGATTTTTTTTTTTACCGATCCACCTCCCCGCCGTACCTAAGGGAGACCCCGTACCGGCGGACCACGGCCACTAAACTAATTCAAATGGGATGCAAGTTTAGGAGATCTTATTGTGCTTAATGGCTTCCTTCGACCTTGCCCTGAAAGGGAAGGCCCAAGGAAGGAGGGAAATATTTTTCTTATTAATTTGCCTAATCTAATAGGTCGCCCTCTTGCTGGTTAATCCTTTTGAATACACTTTCTAATAAAGATATATATACAATATTTTAATAAATAACTAACAATTATGGGTACAAGGAGTAACCAGCCCGGAATTAAAAGTTCAGGGAAACGCTAAGATTTAACAAGTAACTTAGTTATCGTAGGAAGAAAAAAAAGGAATAAGAGAAAACTAGTCAGGTACTTTATCGACTATAGCTCGGCTAACAGGCTTGAGGAACTCAAACGTCCTCTTTTCTTTAACCAGTTCGTTGAGGGTCGGTGGCCAAATGTGGCGGAAGAGGAGCTTTAGAGGTACGAGACCGTATGATGTCTAACGCTGTTATTTTTACAAACTTGGAAACTGAAAGATGTAAGGTTTTAACAATGAATGAGAAGTGAAGCTGTAAGGTGTGTATGTATAATGGGCGTGGCGATGTTTCTAAGTAAATCGTATAATATGGGGTTGGAATTGGTAATACAAATAATTTACGGACAAAATATCGTAGAAGTTTTTCTATTGAATCAAATTGTTGATAGCCCCATACCTGGCAACCGCAACATAGGGTCGAAAGGCAGACTGAGTTGAATACTTGACACGACTTTTAATGGAATTACCTCTTGAGTGATTAAAAAGGACCACGTCTTGTTGATTGCAAACTTTCTTAATGACTTTTTTCTTCAAATGATTCTTCCACTGCAATCTGGAGGAGAGAAGAACAAGATATTTATACTCATTAACCACTTCTATTCTTCCCCCTTTATAATACCAACGGTCCGAAGACTTAAATCTATTACCTATTCTGAACACCATAACCTTTAATTAATTGATTATATACTGTTATACAAAGTGAGATAAATATGAAAAATTAGTGTCACAAGCGGGACTCGAATCCACGACATCTGGATTTGTAGCCCGGTGCACTACCATCTCGCTATCGAACTTCAGCGACGTGGGTAAACTCCAGCGGTAGTGCTGAACGGGTGAACTAACCCGGATGGGTTCGAATTTAGCTCGTGAAACTAATTTTTTATTTCAACCTCACTTTGCTTAAAAATAATTATTTTAAAATAAAAATATACTTTGGTTTAGGTGACAAACAAAAACATGATTAACTAGTTTTGTTGTTGATTGATTTACTAACTTTCTTGAGAGTTGCTGAACAGTTTTAAATACAAAATTTCATATTTTGTTAATTCTATACCATTTTAAAGAGATCTTTTGAGAAAATAAATTTAATACATATATATTAATTATGAAAGTTAATGTTAAGTTTTATTACGTTTTGAAATAAGAAATAGGCGGGGGAAATTTATTCTTTTGGCAGCCTGATTGGGTTTAACCGTGTAGGAGGTTATGCTGCAGTACTAGAACTGTCAGTTCTGATCGGTGGGATCGATTGGTTTAGTATGTAATCAACCTGTTACATAATATAAGAAATAATTGAAAGTTAGTTTTACCTTTTTCTGGAACGCAATAAACCGTTGATAAGTTCTGTCAGTCGAATATCTTCGCAATGGGGGTATTTCTGTCCTGCTGCAAAGGTGGCGGGGAAGATCTGTTGACGCCAGACGCGGTATGTCGTTTTGTTTAATTTTGTCCTATTTCTGTGAAACATTTTCCTCCAGGAAACTAAAAGAAAGCGTATGGCCGAAGCGGCAGAAAGAAGGCTCAAGGAAAACGAGTCCAGGGGCGTCAAGAACCTGGAAAGCGTGAAGAGGATGCAGGAAAAGGACAGGGAAAGAGAGAGGCTGGAGAAACTTCAACAGGTGCGAGGAGACAATGGTCCTGCGCTGAAGGTAAACACAGTTCTGTTTTAATAACACCATCATTTCATATCTATAACATTATTTTATCACCATTTTCACCCTTTATCTCATAAGTTTTGCTATGTTAAGTGTGAATTGTAAAATGACAATACTCATATATAGTGTCATCCGGTGTCTATTTTGGTGCTTACTGCTGACCCAATTACCTTGTAGATAGAAACTAATAGAGAGAGTGAGGAAGCCATTTGCCAATTAATGCCCCTTAACCACAACTTGAAAGGCTTTAAGATTTAAAAGCCTTAAAACTTTGGCAATAAAATAAATCCAAACTTATTGTTATTGAAAATAATTTGTAAAACAATGGGTGCAATCTCATTCTTATAAGGGAACTTTAAATAAATTCAAGTTTGTGGTTTTTGTTTCAGTGGACGGTGTCGTAAGGAGAGACAGTCACTGACCGAACGCTTATCATGTCCTACATCTCTCAATTTCAATGTTTATTGTTTCGTTGTGCACCCATCGCATTTTATCCAATCTCAGGTTGTTTAAATTGTTCAACTGGTCCAGGGAGCATCACATTATTGTCAAATTATAAGGGATAAGTATTTATATATATTATAATAATACTAATAGAATTACTTCTGATGAATTTTATTGTAACAAATATTTTTATTACATAAAATGAAATTTTAAAAAACTGTTTTTAACAGATATAAAATTATTTTTTAATGTTTTGCATTTCTCTAATATTGTAATATTTATGTGTAAATAAATGATTATAGTGCATTGTACTTTCGTTTCCATTTTTTTGGACGGAATTGATTACCTTTAATAACATAATAATAACTAAATTAACATAATAGCTTAACTATTAAACTTTTATAATAAATTAAATTACAAAACAGCAAAAATATGTCTTGGACATTATAACATAAATGGCTATTTTAGAACAACTATTAAATATGATTGTGCAATAAATTCAATTTATTTTTAAATTACGTTAAACTATTACAAAAATATATATTAGAGCCTTTTTTTACTTTTGGCATTGTCTTAGAATAATTAAATCAGATTTTAAACAATCCAGTCTTCAAGTTTATGGGTACAGAAGTTCTATATTAGGCGTCTGGAATAGGTATATTATCTGGTACTGTGAATATACACAGAGGAAGCAGTAAATCTGAAAACAGAAATAGAAAATTCAGCGGTGTACAATGACGTCTATAGTAACCGGTAAAAGGCCACAAATCACAGGAGCCCAATTGTGAAAATTGTATACAATTCAAAACATGGCCAGGCACTTACATTGTACGCCATCCACAGCCAGTTCAGTAACGTGGGAACCACAACTTCAAGCTGGAAAAGAAACATGTGTATTTTTAATAAAACGTTTTAGTTTCTAATAAAAAAAATAATGAAAATATTTTATTATAGTTAGCAGTATCATCTAAATATATTAAACTTTACTAAACAATTGCTAGGGTAGCTAGCATTCTTTCGACTCTGCTTTAAGTACTTGTTTTTGTTGTTTATGCTAATTAATTCACCTTTTTCTATTTTTTTTTTGTTTTTGTTTGGTAGCCTGTTACAAAGTATATATTACAAATGTGATCACCGGTTTTTTTTTGTGTTTTTTTTTTTGATAGCCTGTTACAAAGTACATATTACAAATGTGATCACCGTTATGTTTTTCTTTTCACAAGGTCACAAACTCTGGATCCAGACATCTTGAAGAAAGCAAATAAGCAAATTCAGTTGTTACTGCCAAGCTTTTGGGCCTATTTTGAAGTCATCATCAGGGGAAAACGATCTGTGTCTGCACATTGACATATATAAGTTTTCAGGTGATCTCAAATTTCCTTGAACACTGATTCAGTCAAGGACTGTAGCAGTTTTCACACAGTCATAGCACTAACTCTGATGCCAGCTCATATATGTATTTAGTAGTCAAAATTGACCGTATTTATTATTTTAATTATATTTTCAATCTGTCTTGCTGTTTTATCTCAACCAAGACCTTAGATTAAAAGTACAATTAATTAAACTAATGCCAGCAATACTCCCAGGGGACATATGCCATGAGAAAACAGCCAATGCTGGCACTCATTGTGGCAATTTAAGGGGCATCGGGGTCCTGAGGACATCATCGATTAAAGCGAGAAGTAAATTTTTAATTTATATATTGTAAATAGTAATATAAAAATTAAAAAACAAGATAAGGAATTTTGATAGATTATGTACAGAGTCTGGCATGTTGACTCAAAATTATCTAGAAGCAGTGTGAAATCCAGCTTTTGGTACAAATTAACCAAGCTGTCCTTTTTAACTCTTATTTTGGAGCAGTTGAAGAAGTAAATGAACTCCAACCATCACAAATCCCACGGGCAATACTGATGCTTTTTATCAGTACATTTTAAAATGGGAAAAAGAGAAAAATCAAACTGTAAAACATCAAAACTTACAAGTTACTTTCCTGCCGCACCTACCAAACAAATATGTCTTGTTTGAACAAAACTGATAAAAATGTGTACAATCAATCCCTGGCATCTGACAAAATGTAATAATTTGACTAAGTATAATAATGAAATAAAAATTTTAATTACATAAATGTAGTATCCGTATAACAACCAAATTCCATAAACAGCCTGGAATGAGACAAAGAGGAACATGAGTATCAGCCATGGCAGAATCATCCCTCTGTGCATTCTGCTTATGCCGAACAACATAAGCACTGAAGCACCAATCCAGAGCAGGAAATAAATTACGAATACCATACCAAAAAGCTGCATAGCTGAAAATAATATAAATACAATTGCCATTATTACAAAAAATTGTTTATAAAAATATAAATGAATGTATGCCACAATTTTTAGTTTAAGAATAAATATTAGTTAAGGTGTGATTATAGTTTGACCATTGAACCACCATTGAAGATTGTGGGAGACTAAAAAATTCCTTAATAAGCCAAAAACAGTATTTATAAGCTGATCAATTTAATCAAAAATGAACAAAAGTAAAGTTTTATTTGAGCTAGTTTATGATGGCAACAATGATTCGAGTAATGCATCGTAAAAACCAATGATTCAGAGAATTGAATAAGCCAATAGGTTAAATTGAAAAGAAGAGAATGAAGACTGTGTCCTGAAGTAATCAAGTTTTTTGCAGTTACCCCAACAACCAAATGAGTTGAACAAGTATAATTTAAACAGAAAGAAGTAAGCTTGCAAGTTGTGAAAAATGTATCATGACAAAATAGATATATTAATGTTCATGTAGGGCCCAAAGACCAAGAAATTTATATTGCAGTGCCCCTGAAGTTTTTCTGTTTTCTGAAGTAAACCCACCAACTAAGATAATGGTCTGAGTTGCTGATTATTTATTTAAATAAGTAACGAAATAAATAAGTGAACAAAAAATGAACCTGCAAATTGTGAAGTGTATCGCCAGAAAACAAAATCATGTTAATGTACATATGGTAATAAATGTAGGGCCAAGAATTGATCCTTGTAGCAAACCTGAAACTTATTGTGGTATTCCTGAAGTATCACAGAAACCCCAATAATAACTAGAGTACGGTAGTCACTCTTTGTTTTTCAGGAAGGAAGGCACTCATGGGAACGCAACACGCATACAACTGTCTCGCTATCAAGCGAATAAGTGACACATGGCCTCCTTAGGGTAGTGGAATCATGAGACTTGTATTATATGCACTCAAGTATATATACGTACTATTAATATTTATTCTTAGTGAATATTTCAATCTTCTTACTGGCTGCCAGCATTAGCCATGCCATTGTACTTAGTATATTGTTCAATTTGTATGTGTATAATCAATCAAAACAAAACTAATTACAATTATAATTAGAAAGTCATTAATGTAATATGGTAATAAATATATGGCCAAGGGGATTGATCCTCGTAGCAACCCTGAAGTTTATAGACCCCCAGTGAACCCAACACTAAGATATATATATGGGTGATATATGATATGGGTGTGTAGTATTTAGTGACCGTTAATTAATGATTATTTGGAGATTGTGAGTTGCGGTCTTGGGTGACGTAGGTTTAGAAAAACAGTTTCTTTATTGTGGCAACATTTCAATTTTTATTTAGATCATCTTCAGAGCCTGGGATTTACATTTGTATTCACTTAAAATGTGTGTTTTGTGTCACGACACACAACCGTGACACATCAACACACAAAACACACTTTGAGCGAATACAAATACTTTGATTAAACATAAAATTTCTTGTGTTTTTGTGTACATCATTGTATAAATTCATTTTCACGTCCTACATATATTTGAATAATCTAAACAAAGTTTGTAAATCTCAGGCCCTGAAGATGAATATTTCTCTAAATAAAAATAAAAATGCTGGCACGATAAAGAAAAAAAATTTTTTAAAGCAACATCACACAAGACTGCATCTCACGATCTCCAAATAATGATCTGAGTCGCTGATAATTTAAATGTAATTGAAGAAAAAGTGAACTTGCAAATTGTGAAGTGTATCGCCAGAAAATAAAGATTAATGTATATATGGTAATAAATGTAGGGCCAAGGATTGATCCTTGTAGCAACCCTGAAGCTTATTGTGGTACTCCTGAAGTATCCCAGAAACCCAAATAATGAAAAATTGATCAAGTTGTGATAATTTCAATAGAAACAAAGAGAAAATGAACATTTAAGTTTATAGTTAAACGTGTAGCAATTTATATGTGACTAATGGTTCATTTAAATGAAACTGCACAATACTTACTGCTCCTTACGTCAGCCTCAAACAGCGGAAGATAGACTTGCGATGACTCTCCACCAGACATCATGTAAATTGTGAGAGTCATCAATATTATGCTCATGGCCTAAAATTAATTCAAGTTAAATTTAACTTGGGTTGTAATAAATTATAATTGCGTTTGTATACTACTTACCATGGTATAAACCGCGCAACACCTGCTGCCGGATTTGACATCATTGTTCCATATAAATGGAGTCCAGCACGTCTTTAAAACGACCATTTTATTGTCGAAAAACTAGCTTGCCCGATTGGAAAGTAGTGCTTTGAGTTAAAAATAGAAACGGCACTACATCAATTTCGTGCTTGATCAATTGGGGACGTTATGCCGTCAATTGGCTGGCGGACGAGCCTCTTCCTCACTCGAAGTGTTTTGTCGAAGAAAAACGGACGTTTCTCCAGTGGAAATTCGGCACAATTCATGAAATTGGACGTGGGTTTGGGTTAAAGAAAACAAACCGAAGACATGAGTCGTTAGGTACAACGGACGGTGTGCCACTCCCACTCAGGGTTTATGTTTGTAAATTGTAATGCGGCTTTTACCAGGAGGGGGACGCCCTTTCCACGGCCACCTGCCACAAACACTTACACACATTTCTCTACTTTATTTTATTTATTATTGCCATAATTAAAAAACATTAACTTTAGACTAAGAAAAGTTAATTGTTACAATATATATTTCAAAGTCTTTCATCAATATGTTACAGGGTAAAAATTTCAACTCAACAACCCCTCCAAAAATTTCAAATTCCAACAATTAATTAGCAATTATCTTATTTTAAAAATATTTTCTCCTTTCCCATGGAAAACGATTAAAAGACTATTATCAAAACTCCATGAACAGACGATATACACTTACAAGGAGACGACCTAGTTGGCGGGTCACGGATTTGGGTAAAACTTTTTTTGGCGATTCTACACTTCAAAATGTCGGAAGCATATCCGCCAATTCTTGTGAATAGACCCTAGGTTTCGCAAAAAAGTATATAAAAAAATCGTGACAGTTGAAATTTTTTAATATTCTTATTTCGCCGTTCTACTTGATCCAGTCAACTACGTGAATATATCATTTTACAGCATTTTTATTTAGTTTATAATGAAAATGTAAAGCTATCAAAGTTTATCAATAACCAAAAAATTTCTAAAAACCAATTATTTCGGGAGTAAGCCAGGTCGTTTGAAAGAAGAGGAACATAGCTTTTTAACGACGTAAGTTCCATTAAAATATATAAAATATTTCTATAAGAAAATACACAAAATAGCAAAATTATTTGTCAGAAATTAACCTAATTTTTTAAATGGAAATAATAAACCGATTTTAATGTTTGATACGGTTATAAAGTGCACTTGAGAATTTTTTTTAAATGAATTGTCAAACATCAAAATCGGCTGGGTCCCAGGACACGTGGGAGTAGAGGGCAGCGAGAGAGCAGACACCCTTGCTGTGCTCATAGTCCGTTTTGTGCCATAGATCACACAATGAATACCTTTGACCAATGGGCAAAATGAAAATGAGGAAACAGTGGAATTCACTCATTGGACATAAATCTAAGAAACTTATAGCAATTTTGGAAAGAAAGGTACAACAGAATGCGTCAAAAGAAGCAGGGGAATACTTCTAATCTAACTGGATTCTTAATAGGACACTGCAGACTGATGGTCATTTCGGAAAGGTATTGCAGGTTCTGCAAAGAAGCAGAGAAAACACCTACTTACAAACTGTGGCGCCACATTTGCATGAGGGAATGTTTTGAGATATACAACGAAAGTTTAGAATAAATTCAATCACTGAGACCTGAAACCAGGATTGATACATCTAAATATACATCTAGAACATATTATTTTNTCGGTAAATTTATTAGCAGTAAAAGTATAATGGTTTAAGAGCAATTATTAGGTGAAAAAAAGTCTCTTCCCAATGTCGGCTGTTAGCCATAGTTTATATAAGGTGCTGAGGGTTTTAGCTTCTTTAAGCAATGAGAAATGTACATAAATTATACAGTAACTGATATTATATTGCCAAGAGAGGAACAATGGAAGTGCAATAATGTGAAATTAAAATCTCAAGGCAAAATTTTGTGCGCAATTAGTAAAATTGTTGATTGTGGGCCTTCAACAATTAAATATACTGATAATTAGGAAATGTGTAGAATAAGTGCCAATCAGGCTGGCTGTAAAAACTTCAATGTGTATCCACAAGTGCCACTAAAATAGCAGGAATGTCGCTACTGATAAATATTGAAATAACCCCCCCCCCAGACTGTACGAAATAAGACCAAAGAACCTAAATACCATGGTCGAATGCCATGCTAGAAGTAAAAAAAAAAAAAAAATACTTTCCACCTCTGCTGTGGAACAGGGTAGTGGACGACCTCACAAGTGAATGAAATGAAAGCGGAATCTATAGCCAAGGCTATGAAGATGACGTTTGTTGTACAAGTCACAGTACAATTCACCTCAACATTAAAAGTGTTCACATAAACGGCAGTACATCCTTAACCGACCATCCCTAAGAGAAGGATCAAGTCGATTGCAATGAATAAGGAACTAGGAAAGTTCAATAACCCAGAAGTGCTTGGGAAACAAAAAAACCCTGACTTCCTAGTATTATATTCTTCATCATCATTATCATTATCGAAGTAAAATATTTCAACTTTTATTTAAGCAATATCCAAAAATGGTAGTTTTAAATAACCTTGTCACGAGCCCAATGAATAGAACCTTAAATCAAATAGTGTAAAATCTCATAATTATGACCATCTTATTATTTTTGTCTCCTTTTCATCCAGATCTGAAAGTCACACAGTGCTCAGACTGAATCGCCGAATTCCTTAATTATCTTCTTTTTTTCGCCTACAACTAAATCCATCAAAAGTCAAACAATCATCACACTGTCAATTGTACATATTTTTGTACATAAAAAAAAGGAATAATAATATTTCAAAAATTTTCTTATTTTGATTATAGTTAATGCATATTAAAAAGCCAAAAATTGATCATTCAGTACCAATTGAATGCACAAATTTACATTTTTTTATCAATTTGGTCTTCCTCTCCTTGCTGTTTTAGTATTTCTTCAGTAGTGGGTCATATTTTCATCCAAAATAAGCTAAAGTCATAATACAGGAATAGGCTTCAGTAAAAGAGAGCAATTAAAGCATTGGGAGGAACTTCAAAGTTCAAGCAGACGAGGTTCTTGCAATGCTTGTCAAATGATGATTATATCTGGTTTACAGATGGGTCTAACAATAAGACTAAGTATGGACCAGAAGCTGGCATGTATGAAATAAAGCAAGGGAGAATATTCATATAATCCTTGAACTCATAAAAAGGCAGAGTATTGTCAACAAGACAATAGCCATTTACTCGAACAGATGAGTGGCACTAAAGGCAACTTACCTCATTGGTAGTAAAGTCTAGCCATTTGGGATTGCATCAAGACTCTGTCAGACGCTGGGGAAAACAATAAAATTACCCTTATTTGGTTACCATGGCATGCAGGACAGAGAGGCCATGAGCTGTCAATAATAAGCTAAGGAAAGTTGGATCAGGACACCCACCAGACATGAGCCTTTTGTGGCATAAAAAATTGTCAAAATGTACATCCTTTACACAATATGTACTCGGTAAATGTAGGATTATACAGAGACACAAAAATAGAAGACTATACAATAGAAATAGACATATAAAAATAGAAATTCTAGACTGGGCTAGAATGATAATAGGTCTGCGGACTGGACACTGCAGATTCCAGGCATATGTATTAGGCTTGGAGTAACAAAACCAAGCTTGTGAAAAAGAAACAATGCAAATGTCCTATGTAGTTGTGAGGGCTTATGCAAGTTGAGATTCTTACTCTGGAAAAAGGAAAATCCTTAGGTATACATACAAGAGCCTTTAACAAAACTTTGGAATCTGGTAAAATGCCTTAAACTTAACAAGGAGCTCTAGACAGTGACAGATATTGCACAATAGACGAATATTAGCTGTGGAGCACAAAGTTGTAAAGAGACTATCACCTTTTAACCTCAAAACTGTATTCTTTATACACAGCTTAAAATCTTAAAATGACCAAACTTCACGTTCATCACCATGTCACAAGAGGGAATCTCACAATTTTTCTTGGCACTATTATAAAAATTTTCCATTGTTGTAAATCAATTTGTTGCTCCAAAGAACTAACATTATTAATTAACATCATTTACATTAAAATGGTCCCATTACTCATATAATAAAAAAGTATGGTAGCATATGGAATATGAAACAAAATATGTGTTTGTGAGATTTCTCCATGTTGTCTGCAGAATGATGAATTTTACCTATTTACTTTTTACCTAAGGCCTTGGTTGAGATGAAAAGCTTGTGCCACAAGCGGGATTTGAACCCATGACCTTCGGTTAAGCAGGTAAAACTTTACCTTTAACTAAAGGTCATGGGTTCGAATCCTCGTCTGTCTTTAGATGAAAGTAAAATTATTGAAAGTCTTTTGGTCTTTTTATAGAACAGAATGAAAGGACTTTCAAACAAGCATAGTGGTGATGGTTCTATTACAAGTTCTATCACAAAAAGTGAATCTGCATACTTACCATATTGCATACTTTACTATTTCTAGCATAGTGCATTTCTAAGGAACACCTTGGTACTGTCTTCGCGAAAGATGGCATTCTGTATCATTTTTTAAAATTCTCTATTGACTTTTTTTTTTTAAAGAAAATTGCATTTGAAAAGTATTTTTCATTATTTTAACACATTTATCAGATATAAAATGGCCTGTTGTTAAAAACTCAGGCGTATTACGATACCTTTTAAGGTTGATAGTAAAAACTCATAAAAGCAAACAATTCTATTATTTCTTGTTGAGTGTACTTTTTATACATGAATATGTGTATAATATGTGTATGTTGTGTTAGATGCAATGTCTGAAAATAGGGGAGCAAGGGAAATTCAAGTGATAACAATAAATTGTTTTAATACTATTTTTCCCCATTTCCTGTTCTCATTGGATAATGATTATAAACTATTTTAAACTTTTAAACTGATTATTGAATAAATGTCAGTATGTTAAGGGATTTCCTAATCAGGCCAAAGTTTCATCAAATCTGATTTATCGATTAGCAAGATATTGTAGAATACTATATTTTCTTATGGGTCACTTATCAAGGGCGAAAACTTATCCTAATTCTTGTAAATATTCCTAGCAGTAACATTATTTGATGCTAGTTTAATACATTACAACAAGAACAAATTTGAAAACGTATTCTCCTCTTTTTCCTTCATGGTTGCTGGCCTATTTGAAGATATTTTTTAAGTTGTTTTTCAGGAACATACTACCATTCAACATAAAAAAATGAATGATTTTGCTTCAATAAAATGATATGTTGAATAATGTTCCTGAAAACACAGAAAAGATCTTCAAATTTGAAAATGGTTTTGCCCTTACTTGGACCTATAGTTTTTGCTTTCTCCAAGTCTATAATACATTAAACACCCTTGGCTAAATTTGAGCAAAAATATATAATATTTAGGCTGT